AGCGTGCGGAAATAGCAGTCGCAACTGGGGAATTCAGAATCGCATCGCAGCACATATACCATAATTCAATGTCAGTCATCACATTTCCCTTCAAAGACGTCACATACTCAAAGGCTGCAAGCACGTGATATTAAATGTGCTCGGCGAATATGGGAGAAACCCCTGAACGGTCTTTTGAAGTCCTAGTAGAATCGTAATTGCATTTTACCGGTGCAGTTGTACCGATGTGGGGGAACTTCATCACGATAAAAGTGGAAACAGGACCTCTTGGTGACAATATGTGCAGAGAATTGATTTTCTTAAGCAAAAAAGGATTGCTAGGATAGGGTGCGCGTACCTCAGCTAACCCCCCCCCCCCCCTCGTGGCGCCGCCCATGGCTACAACACAACTAATAAGTAATTCGGGATTGAACATATACTTTATGTCTAATAATTGGCATTCATGTTGCCATCTACCTGATCACTCGCATCGTTTGAAGTCCATGGACAACACCACCTAGGGCTGCACCGCCCACGGTGGGGTAGCCTCGCCAAAATGGGTGGTGTTAGCCCCCAAAGGCCTACCAAAGGCCGAAAGCGTAGATGGCGTTATTACCGATTCGCCAAGTACAATTCATGCCATCCAAACTTGGCGCAAATATCTACGACCCTCAGAGAAATTGTTTGGTAGGGCTCAACACTGCTCTGCCCACTACCACGAGCAAAAAGTGTTCCACTTTCAGCATCACTTTATGCAAAGGTAAAGAGCGCTGTATTTCAGCTCCCACATCCGATTAAACCTTAGCGCCCCGGTGCCCTTTCTTCCTCCTCGGCGTCACAGACGAAATAGGCCGGCAGCTGTTGACGTGTGATATCAAATATTCCTGACATCGGGGTGGGAGGTGCTTCTCAAAGGGCGGTGCTACCCCTCCCTTCCCTAATAGCCTCATTCCTCGGAGAAAAACCGGGAGAATGGAGATAAAGATAACGCGATAACGCATATATGTATCCATTCTCCCGTTGTTGTTTTTTTTTCTCTCCGAGTAATGAGGCTATTACTACTGTCTTATATACGTAAAGAATGTTCCTCGCACACGCACTTAACAACTAACACACTGCACTTGCCGCCCTTGTGAGGGTGTGGTACAACCATCCTTTCTTGGCTTATAAAAAATCATAGCTCAAAAATCACAATCAATATCCATGATCCATGAAATGTATGGGGAAGCTGTGAGCCTTTCATTGCTCTAGCTTTACTCACCTGTCAATGCAGTCAGCAGTTGCTGTATCAAACGTGCGACATTACGCAAACGCAGAAATGCGTTTGAGTATCAAATGCGCAAAAGTTGTATTTATTGAAAAAGTGGTTGCATTGAGTTGTTTATCTAACGTCTGAACAAAATGCAATTTGCGATCACAACCACTGAGCAAATACACAATACAGCAATTGATACTATTTTTCAGCATTTTTCATTTTGATGAAGCGATAATTGAAAATGACGTAAATTCAGTGCTTGATAGCCAGCAGATGATATTCTAGTGAAAATGAATCTTCGAAACGAAAACGTTTGATGGTTATGCCGCATTGTATTTCATTTGCCTTTGTTCTTTGTGCTGTATCGCATGTAGAGTTACATTGCAACGGCTCCTGAAAGATTTAGCTCCAGGTGACGATTTGGACGGTCCCAAATTTCATCGGTGACAGATAAGGCTCTCTTCTCACGTCTGCAAGCAAGCCTTAAACCTAAGTTATTCGTTTTCGAACAGGAATTGTACACAACTTTACTCCGAGGCTTGTTTTTTCAACAAAACGCCCCTGGCAGATTCTACGACTTTAACGGCGGCTTGATCTAAACGGAAAGGGCGGTTTTTTTAGCGCTGGACACCTAATTTGACCATCAAACAGTACATGGCACTTGTTTGGCCTATAGCGAAGAAGGGCGAATTTCCCTTACGGTTGCAATAACGGCACTCTCCCCTTGATGCACTTGTGTTTGATGCAACGCCCATTATCACACTTGGGATAGCATTTTCATGACAGCTTAAACAGTTATACAAATAGGTTACCGTGCAATTGGAAACGATAACACAGAAAATCCTGTATTTCAAATGAACTTCAGCCGAAAACCTCAGCTCACTCCATCTTTTGAAAATGTATGGTATATTAGGGCCACTAGCAGCATGTTGGCATATATCAGTGGAATTGATGTACTTATTGCTGACCATTAGTGTGGTGTTTGAAGCTTGTGTCTTGATTATAGAAAATTATGGTGTACTTTAAAGGGAACGTTCCACATTTGAAAAGACTGAAGCAGCATTTGATATCATGAGATGTGCTCACTTATAACTATTGGCATACTTTAAATTCGAAAAGGCTGGTCCAAACAACGCAATTCCTTTGTTTAGCACGCATACTCGTCATTATGTCGTGGTTTGATTACGTCACTGTGCCTCGCATAACATCGATGAAAAGCCAGCTGACCGCCGTTATATCTGGAAATCGTCCGCACGAACACAACGTATGAAAGGCTTGACACTATGTTTTCCCTTGATCGCCGTATGGCTAATGGAATAAAGGGACTGGAATGGTATTATTATGAGTCAAGGATGCCTGGATAACCGCGAAATAGTCTCCTCGAAATAGTCTGCGCATCTTTGCGGAAGTGTAGCTCAGAAACTAGAGGGGTTTAAGTCTCAACAAGAACAGGGCTGTGAACTGCGCAGAATGGTCTAGAATGGTCTTCAAGATGCCTTTTTCATTCCAATCCGCGAGCAAATGTGGAACGCTCCTTTACGGAGAACGTGAGATGAGTTTTGATTTAAGCATGAGCTTGACACTTTTCGAAAATTATTGGTGTGGGTTGTTGCTCCATGACAAAAAGTTGGTTTGCTGGTATTGTGTTTGTGGCTGGTTTATATTTATGTGGTGCTTGTCAAAAAACCTTGGTGTTCATTCTCAGTACATTATGCAGTTTTAAGGTAAAAATATATTTCATGATGTGTGCAGGTGTGTTCGTGACAGTGGAAATACCTGGGAAGAATTAATTGAAGACCAGAATGGTCATATCCATCACCAATATGCATGCTCTGATCACCAGCTAAATCAGTAAGGCGGAAAGCTAATTGTTCACCAAAAATGTTCATGTGTCACCAATGGCGCCAGTTCAAGTATTGCATGCAAGGTCGGTCAAGTGAGGGTCAAGGTCGCCATGCCTGTCATACGCTGGGGCTCAGTCAGGTCCAAGTCGCCATACATACCTTGCGCTGGGGCTCAGTCAGGTCCAAGTCGCCATGCATGTGATACGCTGGGGCTCAGTCAGGATAGTCGATATAGGAAGGGACGCAGCTCAGTTAGAACTTATCACATTTTTATATTTCTGTCCGGAGTCATCTTCGGTGCTAAGTTAAAAACGTTGGCCTAGGTGTTGGGGAGGGCATCACCCCTTGCCGTCTTTATGTGTCCTTGCCAGTGGCCTCTGACCAGAGGTGTCGCCAATTGAGGCATAAGGGCCATTTCAGCCAAGCTACTCCCCATTGTCGCTATACAAGCCCTGTTTGTGCAAGACATATTTTAAGACTTTATGTCCCGTTTTGATGCCTCGACGGCTCATTGTTACTGTTTCAGAAGCATTATGGGCGTTCCAGGCTGTCACAAAGCACTGAGTCCTTCGGTCCCAGAGGGCTCCGACTACCTCCAAGGGACACGGGGGCTTTAAAGGCATGGCTTGGGCTTAAATGGTTTTTAAGAGCAAGGCAAGGGCATGGCTTTAAATCCCCCGCGGCTATGCCACTGTCCCTGACTGGGATGACTTTGACCCAAAGCAGCGGCCGCTCAAGTTCTGGGAGGAAAGAAAGTGAGACAGAGCGTGCCGAACATTATGGTGCATTAAACTTTCTCCACGGAATTTGGTCTTTTAACGTTCCTGCCAGAGCTGCTAGAGTCGTAAGCGTTAACCAGCCTCTGGATTATTATTGTCACCCACGCGCGTAACAGAAAGACTTAGCGCACTGCGTACCTGTTGCAGGCGGGAAAAGATGCACAGAAGAACGACTGAAATCTTATTACCGACAGGATTGCTTCTGACTTCGAAATATTCCGTGGTTTCTAAACAGAATCAAGATTGCTCCAACCCAAACTGTTGGAGATGCTATATACGTATGTATGTGTGTGTGTGTGTGTGTGTGTGTGTGTGTGTGTGTGTGTGTGTGTGTGTGTGTGTGTGTGTGTGTGTCTGATTAAAAATAATTGCTGACTCAGCATTGACCAGCTTTTTGACGCATCGTTCTTGTTTCCGGGCCTTTGGCTTGGCATCATCGCTGAGATTAAATATGGTTCGCACAAAATTACTCATATCTTCATCGTTCCTTACATTCTAACGTTTCTAAATCCTACATTGTTAGAATGTCAGGAGCGATATACCGCTACATACATCGCGATGTATGTAGATGATGCATTATGCCTAGTTAGAATGTAAAGAGCGATGAATATATGAGTAATTTTGTGCAAACCATCTTTAATCTAAGCGATGATGCCAAGTCAAAAGCCCGGAAACTAGAACGATGCGTCAAAAAGGTCGTCAATGGTGAGTCAGCAATTATTTTTAATCAGAAATGTATAAAAGAAAGGATTCTGATAAATATGTATATATATATATATATATATATATATATATATGTATGTCATTACACGGAAGTCAAGTACATTCATCGATGCATTTTGGGAGCCTTACGTAACTGCATTTTATTAAAAAACCAAAATAGTCATCCAAATATATCAGATGACAGGACCTTTTATTTCTGATTGCGTATTGCCATTGCGCATTTTCTCTCAAAGTAATAAGTGTTGGTCTGCAGGCCGTGCATTCCTTACAATACAATGCTGGACTCTTTGATTTCCTTCATGATGTCAAAATGCTCTCATAGTTAACTTTCCCATAGTTATAAGTACCGCATGTAGCCGTCTCTGTCATGCAACGTCGTGATAACTGATGGCCATGCTATGTTCCATTGATGATACTCACCATATCAGCTGACCACCTGTCCACAGCCTGGCAGACAGCCGGGCTTGCGCAGTGGGCAGCAAACTGTCGTCACCTGTAAGGAACGGAGGTCAAAGGTGAGATCTCAGGTAAATTGAGCTGTTGTAGGCCTCCGTGGGGAATGTTCACCGCGTATGACATGGATCGAGGCTGTTTGTATGTCTCTGTGTGACCCCATCGTATGACCCTGTTAAACCCCATAGTAATTCATTCCCTGTTCTGTTCTAGTGACCAGTCATATTCTCCGATATTCTTTAACTCGTTGCTAGTTTTTACACTACACAAGGTTATGACTAAGATGATAAACACGACGTTGTACGGGCATGGGACCCGCGGGCATGCACATTCTTCATGTACAAGTTCCATTGAACACAATGCACGTTGATTCGGAACTCATATAAATATATTGAAACTGAACTGAAAATATTCGCGCTATGCAGTTGTAAGAAAGACATAGGTCAAAATATCATAAAATATGCATCCGGGTCATCAAACCCGGTTTGACCAAGGACGTAGCCAGATGGTCTCGTTTGTGCTAACAAGTGGTTTGACCTCGGTTTGGTTTTGGTCTGGCATAGCAAGCGGTTTGGTACAATGTGGACATCAAAAGTGTTCAACAATATCATATTCATTGTGTATCCGCGTATTGTGTCAGTGTGTATTCGATTGTTTATCATGCGCCCGGGTGGTCCGTTGAATACCCTTTTCTCGGGTGTGAGAGGGTCATTTGACCCACTGATATCCCAAACAAGACGAGAGGTAGAGACACCAACTTCACAGGGTGAATTACTCTTTATAATAACTCTCCTATGTAAAAATTTCAGATTCATAGGTCTTGAAGTTTGGTCAAGGCCAAACTACTAAATAAAGTAAAACAAGGTCAAACTGAAGATTGGTGACCAAAGTGTCCCCAGAACTCTTCATGCAACCTCATTGAGCCCAGATACCTGTTCTAAGCCGAAGATTGCTCATGTTTTTAGGACAATGGTCTTGCTTGACCCCTAGAAGGTCATTGTGACAAAAACCCTAAGAGATGGTTTTGATTTTTGAATTTTACAAGCGCTGAGGATTACGATGTGCGATAAGTTTCAAAAATAAAGAGGTTGATGGGGGTCATTTCAGGTCAGTAGCCTACTCGGGCCCTTAAGAAATCGATGAAAGATGTCAGGTGCTGTCCCTGTCATCCATTTATTCGAAATGAGCTTCACAAAATACCACGTAAAGTGAACTCTCCAGCAAGAAAGGTTGGCTTTGGCCTCAGTCTGACTTTCAAACACGTTCCTAGGTTAATGGAATTTGTTGATCTCCTAAGTCAAATTTTTGAATTGACGAAGAAATTGCCTAAAAGAAGTATGGTTTCGTCTAACACTCCGTTGTCGCATCATATTAACGACGAAAGAGGCGGATTCATGCGACCTCCCTCCCCCCCCCCCCCCAGATTGTTTGAGGATGCCGTGCAATCGCGTCCTGCACGCCGTGCAATCGCACCCAAATTTTCAGAGCCTATCACAACATACCACTGCTTACGTATTGACACCAAAAACGTATTCCTAGCATTTGTCGTTTGGGAACAGCGGCGGCGTTTTGTTTTAGGAAAACTGCGCGGCGATTTACGACCCGCGCGGGTGGCGGGTGGCAACCGACGGTGCCTCGAAATGCGCGCGGCGGGCCAAGGAGGTGGCGGAGGGGGGGGGGGGCGGCTTCCTTAATACCTACATTTGTCGGGGAGCGGCTTCCTTAACACATACATTTTCCCCGTCTTCATACATTGTTCTTCATACATGGCCTTTGAAAAAGTTGAAAATCGACGTAATGTGCTGTTACCAACTCGTGCGCCCTCCTCCACTCTCCTCATCTTAACACGCGCTCGGGTGGGGGTCAAATTGACCCCCCCCCCCCGAAGGCTTTTCCAGAATGGTTTCCGAACGGCGAGGCGTAGGTTCATCAAATTTTGCATAGCTGTAGACAGTTGAATAGCAAATAGTTGGACATCACAAATTTAGATGTACCTTGTAAGGTCGCTGACCTACAGCAGGTCAAAGTCAGGTCATGGTTTCAGCGAAGGTAATTTCTAGGGAATCGTCCAATCTGATACAATAACGGAATGTCTGACGAGACCATGCATCTCTGAGATGCTTTTTTAGGCACTAAAAATACTGAATGAGCAAATTACGTTGACCTTAAGTCAGCTATGAAAGCCGGGCCGAGATCACAACCAACCTATTTATTACTCTGGGGCTTGCTGTATGGGATAGTTTGTAGTGCTCATTTCTATTTTATTGACAGCAGGAACGGTATTATACATGTTTCATTGACTTCTTAAGGTCATAAAAGGTTATTGACCTAAGACGAACCGGGTCGGCATTTTGTTTTATGAACGTACTACCTAGCGTAATCTTTTTCACTTATTCAAATGCAATCAATCAAACGCAGATAACCTCAAATGGGCTATTGGCCTTTTGCTTAGAAGCAGTTTCCTAGGTTCGGAGGGCACTTTGGTGACCAACCTAGAATTTGACCTTGTTTGACCTTATTTGACCTGAAGTTCATGTTTTAGGAAGCTCAAAAATTGACCTAAGTGAGATCACGTACAGGTCAGGACACCCTGTGAATTTGGTGTCTCTAGCTGTTTTAGTTCTGGAGATCTCAGGGGGTCAAACTGACCCTCCCCCACCCGAGCGAAGGGTATCTAGCCGGCCACCCGGGCGCGTGTTAAGAAAATGCTGGCAGTGCCCCTGTTTGTGAGTACTTTATGGCTACGGCGATTATGTTGCCAGCGATGTCTCCAGTTAGGAAACTAGTTTGGCTGGTCCGGCAAACCTTTTTACTCCATATTCTGTCATAACGATATTTAGCTTACTAGGGGGCCTTACTTTGCCTAACTGTTCATCTGATATTCCAGTTGGTCCAGGTGCACTTTATTGTGTCATGTATCATACTTACTATTCATCAGATTCGCGCTTTAAATACCTTAAATAAAAAACAAAAAATTAGTTGGGTCGATGTGCAATCAATTTCTGATGCACGTTAGAGTACAAGTTGAGTCAGACGCATTGGCTGGGATCAGTATGAGCCAGCTTAAGAATTAATGGCATTAACGACCCCTATTATTGTTCTGACAGTCCCATGGGGGAGCAGCGAATTATGCACAATATGTTTTATGCCCTTGCTAAGCAAACGTATTTGCATAATACACAGACCTTGATCCTGACCACGCAGTGAATCAGTTAAACTCCCTAGGTATCAGAATCTACCCCATCGGAATCGAATCCTGCATTTATTCAAAAACTTTTGAGACAAAATCGGAGTGGATTCAGAAGCATGTTGTTCAGCGCGAAATCAGAATCGAAATCAACTATAGACATGCGCCACGAGTGACAGTCGGAATCTGCTCCTAGGAACATATTCAAACAAGTCTGCCAACTGCACATGTGCGTTTAATTTTATTGTTTTTTCATACACCGCAAAGGTCCCGTTGTGATAATCTCTCACGCATGGCTTTGTCTACTTTTTGGACTGTAATTTGACTTGCCTTTGTACCTTAACGGCATCAGTGTATCGGACACTGCTAGGGAGTCGATGCGCCTCATAGCGCTATATTCCATCTTCCTAATACCACTTATTCAGACCATAGCCCCTGGTTTCCATTCGTCGTTTTAGCAACGAAATTTTCACCATATTTCTCGTGTTTTTTTACCGTTTTTCTACATCACTGAACCAACTTTTGTAAGTTTCGTGAGTTCTATATGATGACGTACTGTTGTGAACCTGAGACATGCCCTAAATCCTGAATCAGGAAGGTGTTTCTCTCCGTCTGCGTGAGCACCAAAAATCGCAGAGTAAGCCCACGACTCAGCAGCTGGCGGCTTAGTGCACAGAGGATGTCATTGGTAGCCTATCGAGAGAGCTTCTGGAGCAATTAAGAACATCGCAGGTTTCTACCTACGCATGTTCCAAGCCATCAATCCGCAAGCAGCAATGCACATTGCTCGGCGCGGTGCTGTCCATCACGGAAACCGAGCGGTCGCGAATGATGAGCTTTTGCAATCTTTCCAGCCAACTGCCTAGGGCCTGATGAGTTCAATCAAACTGGTATTCTCTTTCTTGGAAGCCGCAGATGCATGGCATCGAAGACAATTGCTCAACGCCGCTGAAGGGTAAGAGATGGGCGGGAAACTTGCAATCAGCTCTCCCCGATATCCGCCGCGGCTTCCAGGCCTGTCAGTCCCTGACGTCAGAGCCGCCAGTGCCCCTCGCTGGAATAGCAGAGCAGAGCCGCCAGTGCCCACCGCTGGAGTCGCTGAAAGAGCCGCCAGTGTTCCCCGCTGGAGTAGCAGAGCAGAGCCGCAAGTGCCCCCCGCCGGAGTAGCAGAGCAGCCGCCAGTACCGCCAGTGGAGTCGCCGGCAAGCCGCTGCCCCCCCCCCCCTGAGTCGCTAAGAGCAGAGTGTTCCGCCTGGAGTAGCCAGAGCCGCCATCCCCTGGAGCGCCGCAGACCACCAGCCATCCCGCAGAGAGCCGCAGTGCCCCCCCCTGGAGTAGCAAGCAGCGCCAGCTGAGCGGCAGAGCCGCCAGTGCCCCCCGCTGGAGTTAGCAGAGCAGTAGCTGCGCGCAGTACCCCCCCTCGATCGCTGAGCAGAGCCGCCATGCTCCCCCGCAGAGCAGAGCCAAGTCCTGCCATGCTCCCGCGGAGTCGCAGAGTGGAGCCGCCATGCCCCGCTGGAGTCGCAGAGGACGCCAGCAGTAGCCCCCGCAGTCCACCCAGTGCCCCCCGCTGGAGTCGCTGAGCAAGAGCCGCCAGTGCCCCCCGCTGGAGTAGCAGAGCAGAGCCGCCAGTGCCCCCCGCTGGAGTAGCAGAGCAGAGCCGCCAGTACCCCTCGCTGGAGTCGCTGAGCAGAGCCGCCAGTGCTCCCCGCTGGAGTCGCAGAGTGGAGCTGGAGTCGCTGAGCAGAGCCGCCAGTGCCCCCTCGCTGGAGTGGCTGAACGCAGAACGACGGTCGACTGCGCTCACCGAACGGCCGAGGTGTCCCGCTGGGGTCATCGAATAACCGAGGCAT